ACTGCTAACCAGAAGGCTGGCGGTTCAAATCCACCAGCCACTCCTCGGAAGGAAGGTTGGGCAATCCTACTTCCGTAGTGATACTGCCTCGGAAACTCAAGGAGGGGTCGCTATGAGTCGGGGCCGACTCGACAGCAAATAACAACAACAACAACAATGTTGAGAATATATCATGAACCGTGGATGATTATTAACCTACTTCTATGCAGCTGAGCTCCACTCAACAAACACACACACACCCACAAACCAAAACCACTGCCATTGAGTCGATTACAACTCACAGTAACCCCCGTTGGGTTTCCGAGGCAGTAAATCTTTATGGAAGTAGATTGGATTGCCCTGTCTTCCTTCCACGAAGTGGCTGGTATATTTAAACTGCCAAACTTCTGGTTAACAGTCAAATGCTTTAGGCACTGTGCTACCAGAGCTCCATATAAACATATGAAAAGATGCTCAAACTCAATGATAATTATAGAAATGCAAATTGAAATGAGCTATTTTAACTAATTTGTAATAGTTTTGCCAATAATGAAAGATCTGATAATACTTTAGTTTATCCACTGTATGGAAGGAAATAAAATGGCACAATTCTTAAAGAGCAATTTAGGCATTCAAGTGAAAATGTAGAATGTCTACATCTTTTGACCTGATGACTTCCTTTGAGGAATTTTCCCACAGATAAACTGGCACTACAGCATACAAAAACATATACAAAAGGAAAACCATTGATGCATGGCTTGCAATAGCCTCACGCTTGTAAACAATCCAAAATCAAGAGGCAATCGGTTAAGCTATAGCATGCTCCAAACAATAGAATAGGTTTCCCCCTACGGCCAATGTCAAATCAAGAGTGGTCGTGGGTGTAATTTTCAACCTGCTTGCAGAGAGATTTTCTCTGTTACCAAATACAAGAAGTTAACTCAGGTAGACTGCACCAGCTTTCTCATTGTTATTGTTGTTAGGTGCTTCTGAATCGGTTCCAACTCATAGCTACCCTATATACAACAGAATGACACCCCTAGTCCTTTGTCATCCTCACAATCACTGCCATGTTTGAGCCCACTGTTGCAGCCACTGTGTCAGTCCATCTCACTGAGGGTCTTCCTCTTTTTTGATGATCCTCCACTTTATCAAGCATGGTATCCTTCTCCAGGGACTGGTCCCTCCTGATAACATATCTAAAGTACGTGAGATGAAGTATGACCAGCCTTGCTTCCTAGGAGCATTCTGACTGTACTTTTTCTAAGACATTCGTTCATGCTTTCTCATTACCACCCTTAATTACCTGATTCTTTATTAGTAGACCCTAACTTTGTATATAAGAGTCATGAAAATAAAAAATCCAACTTCTGGAAACCTCTCATGATAGCTACAATTTGGTGATGGGGGGAAAAAACTACTCTTTCAAATTGAGGGGGGGTATACTTGCAGGTATACAGAAATTTTGTTCTTACCTAGGATTAAACCAGTCTGAGAGTTGAAGTTCTTTTACCAGATGATTCCTGGGTACAAAGGAAAAGTTAAGTTATAAGGAGTAACCCATTCATGCACTAGCTGCTTACTCAGCGAGGGGATGTGACAGGCCTGATATTGGTTCTCCAAGCATGAACACTGAGATTAGTGCCTGCCCAAGGGAAAGACAACCTGACGTAGCTGACTACAGTCCTTGGTGGTAAGGGCTAACAGGATGGCATAGCTCTCTGAGAGCACATCAGTGGACACTCAACTCAAACTTGGACTCATGGGAAGCCACTTGGAGAAGAGAGAACTCAGCTAGGTCTGGAAAGGCATGGGCTGGTCCAGGAAAGAGATGTAGGGTGAGGAAGTAGGGATGGTGTGCCTGAAGGTAAGAAAGAGTAAGGTTGTCGTAAGAAAGATACACTTTTAAAAATTAACAAGACAGATAGAAGAATGACTATTCAGACAACATGAAGATGTATTTAATTATTTATCATACTTTTATGGCTTTGTTAAGTGTCAATGTAAAAGGATTGAAATAGGAATCCAGATGTGTGTTTGTTTTAGATAGATAGATAGATAGAAAAGGACTTTGTTTTTAACCTATCTAGCAATTTTCCCTCTCCTGTCCTCCCATCCCTGGTAAGCAACAAAGAAAATTTCCTTCCATATATAAACCTTTCCTTGACTTTTTAAAATAGTGGACTAATATAATATTTGTCCTTCTGTGACTGAATTATTTCATTCAGCATAATGTCCTACAAGTTCATCCATGTTATGCAGTGTTTTGTGGATTCTACATTATTCTTTAGTGTTGCATAGTATTCCATTGTGTGTACATACCACAATTTTATTATCCATTCCTCCTTTGACAGTCACTTAGATTGTTTCCATTTCTTTGCTTTTGTGAATAGTGCTGCAATAAACATGGGTGTGCACATAACTATTGAGATGTTAGAGTTTTCTATAAATTTTAGAGATAAGTTCCATGTCAGATATGTCATTGCCAAATAATTTTTCCCAATCTGTAGGCTCTCTTTTACTCTTTTGGAGAAGCCTTCTGATACACACAAGAATTTAATTTTTAGAAGGTCCCAGTCATATAGTTTATCTTGTGCTTTTTGTACATTTTAGGTTATGCTTAATAGCCTGTTTATACCATAAATTACAGCCCCTAAGTTTGTGCCTATTTTTTCTTTAATGAACTTTATAGTTTCCAGCTTCACATTTAGGTCTTTGATCCATCTGGAGTTAGTTTTCTTGTATGGTGTAAGGTATGGATCTTGTTTCATTTTTCTGCAAATGGATATCCAGTTTTGCCAGCACCATTTGTTAAAAAGACTGTCTCTTCCCCATTTACTAGATTTCAGCCCTTTGTCAAAGATCAGCTGACCATAGGTGGATGGATCTATTTCTGGGTTCTCAATTCTGTTCCGCTGGTCTATGTGTAAGTCATTGTACCAATACCAGGTTGTTTTGACTACTTTGGCTGTATAGCAGGTTTTGAGATTTGAGACCTCCTATTTTGTTCTTCTAGTGTGTGTGTTTTTATATTCATTTAAATACAGGATTCATCTAGAGTTTGAGTGTAATTTTAAGTTATTATTCAGTCAACAAGCTTATTAGACAACTTTGCTTTCAAAACCCTGGTATATTTTGTGAATAAGGAAAAGAACTGTAAAAGTGCATCCCTGTCTGATATTATCAGAGGTATCTTTAGCCACAGGCATTTTATGATGGGATTTCCTAGACTAGAGGATGTCAAAATCCAAATTGCCCATGCCACACTTCGCTGAAAATTGAAAGGGATAAATGGAGAACCTACTAAAAATCCTGACTCATTTTGAGTGCTGCTTTTAGTAATTTCTGGAGTCCTATGGAATGATCTCTGGTGGCGTAATGCCTAAGGCATTTGACTGCTGACCAGAAGGCTGGCAGTTTAAACCCACCAGCCACTCCTCAGAAGGAAGGTTGAGCAATCAACTTCCGTAGTTATACTGCCTCGGAAACCCAAGGAGGGGTCGCTGTGAGTTGGATCTGACTCCACAGCAGTGGGTTTGGTTTGGTGTGGTAGAAAACATGGTTGGCTAAAGAGTGTTAAGCTAAACTGAAGAAGAACATCATTCTTGACAAAGATACTTAAACTATAATAAATGTCAAACCCTTGGCCTCTGTAAGCTACTCTTTCCCTTCTCTTTCCAGGCTGTTCCCTTCAGAAAGAAGTCACTCTGAGCAGCCCACACATAAGGACTAGAGTGTTACATTTCACCTCCTTTAATGTAGAGTATCTACATAAATTACTTAAAATTATTCTGCATGGGAATTTTGTCTCTTCTCTCCCATTTACTTATCAATCATTTATTTATATCTATTGTACTCCTGTGTATTTTATATGCTGGTTTATAAACCAATACTACATGCTCTGGTTACCTAGTGCTACTCTGACAAGAAATATACCACAAATGGGATGGACTTAACAGGAGTTTATTCTCTCACAATTTGGAGGTTTTAAGTCCAAGTTCAAAGTGCCAGGCTCTAGGGGCTAGGTGAAAGCCCCTCAACCTCGGGGTCCAGCTCTGCCTCCTGCTCCTGGCCCACTGGAGCTAGAGGCTTTTCTTCACTCAGACAGCTGCTGAGGCTGAGAAACCCCAAGGTTGACAAGTAAAAAGGCACAGTCCCAATGTTACCAAACCACATGGCAGGCCATTAACTTAAGTGCATTCTAAGTCCCAAGGTCGGCAGAGCATAGCAGGCCGCTGAGCAACAACACGGCTACATGCAGGGTCCAAGTGTGCCATAGGCGAGAGACCATTCCCAAGGCTTCTCCGTATACACAGGAAACAGACCACATCCCAAAGGCAGCTACTCAGTTGCTTGTGGTAGATCCCACCATGGAGTTGATTGCCAGTCTCATCATTGGGAATAACTACCACCAGCTGCCCAGCCACTCAACCAGGCCCAGCCAAGTTGACACAGAAATATAACTACCACACTGCATTATTTATTTTGTTGCTCAAATTGTTTCCAGCTTTGGCCACTGGGAACTCTTTCCATTGGTTCCTGTGTTCCTTTGAAATCACTCCCCTAGTTTAGAGTTGTTGATTTGTTGGTTCATTTGGGGGAGGGGAAAGGTATTAAGCAGGTTAACACTTGGTTACTTCCTGGCACTGTGAGATGTTCCAGGTTCATCTTGTTTATTTCCATGTCCCAATCCTAGAGTCAGTCATTTCTCCAAGGAGACATGATTCCTTTCATTGGAGAATGGTGTTAGAAACCAAGATCTTGGCACTAGGTGTATTTACTACCACTGGGTATCTGTTTTGGTTACCTGAAGCCACTCTAACAGGAAATATAACACAAATGGGATGGCCTTAACAAACAGGAGTTTATTCTTACAATTTGGAGACTTTAAGTCCAAGTTCAAAATGCCAGGTTCTAGGGGCTAGGTGAAAGCCCCTCAACTTTGGGGTCCAGCTCTGCCTCCTGCTTCCAGCCCACTGAAGCTGGAGGCTTTTCATCACTCACACAGCTGCTGGCTGCTGAGGCTGAAAAACCCAAGGTTGACAAGTAACAAGGTGCAGTCCTGATATTACCAAACCACACAGCAGGCCATTAATTCAAGTCCATTGAAAGTCCCAAGATTGGCAGAGCAGCTGAACAACAATGCAGCCATACGCAGGGTTCAAGTGTGCCATAAACTAGTGACCATTCCCAAAGCTGCTTCTTATATATGGAAATCAGACCACATCCCTAAAGCAGCTACTCACCTGCTTGTGGTAGATGTCACCATGGAGTTGATTCCCAGTCACATCATGGGGAACAATTACCACCAGCTGCCCAGTCACTCAACCAGGCCCAGCCAATTTGACACACAATCTTAACTACCATAGTATCTTTGCCTCTAGGCTCTCTCAGCTGATAAGCAAGGAAATATGTGTGTGTACTAACCTGTGTATTGTTGTTCTAAGGTGCCATCAAGTCGTCTCCAACTCATAACAACCCTACGCACAGCAGAATGAAACACTGCCCAGTCCCACGACAGCACCGTGATCTTTGCTATTCTTCAGCCCATCACGGCAGCCACTGTGTCACTCCATCTCATTGAGGGCCTTCCCCTCCTTCGTCGACCTTCCACCTTGCTGAGCATGACATCCTTCTCCAGGGAATGGTCCCTTCTGAAGTGACTAAAGTAGGTGAGACTAGGTCTGGCCATTCTCACTTCCAAGGAGCATTCTGGCTGCACTTCCTCCAGGACAGACCTGTTAGTTCTTTTAGCAGTCTGTGGTACTTTCAGAATTTTCCTCCAGCATCACATCTCAAATGCATAAATTCTTCTTCGGTCTTCTTTACTCATTGTCCAGCTCTCACATGCATATGAGGCGATTGAAAATATCATGGCTTGTGTCAGGCACATCTTAGTCCTCAAGGAGACATATATGCTCCTCAGCACTTGAAAAAGGTCCTTTGCAGCCAATTTGCCCAGTGCTGTACGTCATCAGATGTCCTGACTGCTGCCTCCATTGGCATCAATTGTAGAACCAAGCAATGTGAAGTCTTTGACAACGTCAATATTTTCTCCATTCATTATGATGCTGCTTACAGGTCCAGTTGTGAGAATTTTTGTTTTCTTTGTATTGAGATGTAATATTATACTGCAGACTGTAGTCTTCAATCTTCATCAGTAAGTGTTTCAAGTCACTTCAATCCTCACTTTCAGCAACCAAAGTTGCATCATCAGTGTATCGCAGGTTGTTAATGAGCCTTCCTCCAATCCTGATGCCACGTTCTTCTTCATATAGTCCAGCTTCTCAGATTATTTGCCCAGAATATAGATTGAATAAGTATGGTGAAAGGATACAACCCTGATGCACTCCCTTCTTGATTTTAAACCATGCAGTGTCCCTTGTTCTGTTCAAACGACAGTCTCCTGGTCTATGTACAGGTTCCTCATGAGTACAAGTGTTCTAGAATTCTCATTCTTCTCGATGTTATCCACAATTTATTATGAACCACACAATCAAATGCTTTTGCATAGTCAATAAAA